GGATAATATTAAAATGGATCTTAGAGAAAGAGGTTGGAGTGGTTTGGGCTGGATTTATCTTACTCAAAATAGGGACAAATTGAGAGCTGTTATGTGCACGGGAATGAACCTTCGGGTTTCATAAAACTTTGGAAAATTCTTGAGTAGCTGAGCGAATGATGGCTTCTTAAGAAGGGATCACCTTCATGGAGACAAATTAGTTAACGTTTGGGACAACTTGACACTTCAAAATATTTTTAACTTTAAAACTATACTGGTTCTTGTTCAGGTCTCTGATTATACAGTCCAAATCATTTCTACAATGCGCGCAGGCATCACGAGTTCTGTCTTCTGGGCCAAAAGCCATGTAGTGTGTTAGAAGCGAACAGAAGCTTGGAAGGAATCTGCCTCTTCTGTCTTCAGGATTGAAGAGCAAATCAATCAAGATAATACAGACGGAGACAATATGTTACTCAGAAATGTTGGTAAAGACCTACCAGACTACACGGAGTTATATACCGGAAGATAGAACCACCGCTGAGAACCTCAAAGCCTGCTTCATGGATTAAGTTTAAAGCTTGGTTTTGGGTTCATCCACCGAGTGGTCCAACAGAGTCACGCTCACAGCCACAAAAAGCTTGCTTTTAATCAACCAGAATATTGTACGAAGTCCAAAATAAGAATGTCGAACATTATGAAGGATGGGGGCACGCGGCAGCTTAGTTCCTTGAGGAACTATGCTACAAGCCGGAAGGTCGCGGGTTCAAGTCCCGATGAGGTCATTGGATTTTTTTCAATTGACATAATCCTTCCAGCCGCACTATGGCCCTGGGGTCGACTCAGCTTCTAACAGAAATGAGTACCAGGAATTAATGAAATAATTTTCTTGGGGAGTAAAGCGCGGCCGGCGCGTAATGCTGACAACTTTACCGCCATCTTTGATCCTATTGTCTAGATAATGTGGGGCCCTCGAAGCCTCACAACCTTATGGGCCTTCACGGCCTCTTACAAGGATATCTTTACTTTTTTTTTTTACTATGAAGGATACTGGAATTATTACAGTAAGGTAAAACGTAAGGTAAACCTATCTCTGTAACAGGCCATGGAGGCCAATAGGGTTGTGAGACTTCGAGGTTCCCACATTTTCTAGACAATCGGCTCACAGATGTCTGTGAAGTTTTAAGCTTTACGCTCCGGCCGCCTTTTACCCCCCAGGAAAATTCCTGGTACTCATTTATGTTACAGGCTGATTCAGTCCCAGGGCCATAGTGCGGCTGTAAGGATTAGACCAATTGAAGAAATCCAATTACATCATCGGGAATTGAACCCGTGACCTTCCGACTTGTAGCACAGTGCCTCAACCAACTTTGCTACCGCATGCTCCGAATTATTATAATAACTAATTGAAAATAAAATTATCTTTTTTTTTTTTTACAGCGAGGCTTGTGCATCTGCAGTAGAAGTGAGGACAGGCGTCCTCATACATACAGAATGTTCCATTTATATTTTTCTTTATCATGCCTGATGCTCTCTTTAATGAGTTAATAGCTATCGAAGAATTATGTTCGAAATAATTTTTTTCAGGGACAATGTCTTGTACGATGTTACACCATGTAGTTTGGTACATATATATCAATTCTTCAGACGAATCTACTGCCTCCATCTTCAGAGTAAAATATTGAGGCAGCTGGTTATTCCTAAACCTTTATACCTACTAAATTACATGACGTCAAACCCCAGAAGACCTTAATATTAATACTGACAGTCGTAAGAATTTCAAATATCTAATTTTATTAGCTAAAGGAATAGTTGTCCCTGTGCTTAACTAATTAAGCACTACACAATGAAGGCGTATGAGGGGCGGATGTATACGTATTAGTTGGAGGTGAGTGGTCAAATTGTATTTCAGCGAAATGCCAAACGTTATCTTCATTGAAGTGAACATGTCATCTGTAGAAACCTCCTAATAACCGAAGTGTGACATGAAAATAAAGCACATATTGCGGTAATTAATAACATATTCTACTATCAACCATCTACATATTGTCACGCGTTGGAGTGACTACATATGGAGTTCGGGCTCTTTGATACAGCGCGTGAGTACACTTTACAATCCACTACTATATACACCAACATTAATGTCCACAGTCACGTCTTCACTAGCCGTTGCTTGATAGCGGTTTCCAACGGCAGGCGTTCCCCTTCCTCTGGGTTCCCGACTTATCCCCAACCTCAGCTACCAGCTTCTTACAGCAACAGCTCACAACGACTGAACCTCAGCAATTCTCAAGCATGAAAACTGATTAACTCAGTCACTCACCAACCAAATCAATTAAACTGACTCTCACTAACTAACTGTCCTGCTTATAACATCTCGGCACGGACTGCACAAAAAAAAAGTCGGTCCACTATTGTTGTGCAATTGTTTCCTTGGAAATATACATTTTTTTGAAGCCGTTACTTAGTAACGGCTATTGTATAGCCTAGCAAGGGGTCTACATGCCACAATATGTTACGAAATTGTTACTGCCTTACGCTTAGGAGACCCTCTGAATAAGGTTATATTTCGTAGGACATTGTAAACATATTTCAGTCTCTGAGCACTTAGCAGCATGGGTGTGTAACTTGGTCATATATCCTAAGGGGATAATACATACTGACCGTGTTTGAGAACAGGTTGTCGAAGAGAATATTTTGACCTAAGAGGGAGGAACTAATAGGAGGCTGGAGAAAACTGCATAATGAGGAGCTTCAAAACTTTAACTGCTCGCCAGATACTATTACGTTGATCAAATCAAAGAAGACCAGAAGGACACCTAATATTATAAAAGATGTCAGAAATGCGTACAAATTTTAGTCAGATAACCTGAATAGAAGAGACAGTTTGAAAGAGCTGACAGTAGAGGGGACAGACTATTTAGCTTCTCAAGTAAAGATCATTCTCCATTAAGTTGAGACCTAATTTGAATTCACTGAGCTCTCATTTCATTATTGACTAAGACAGTGGAAGACAGTTGTCAATATGGTCGGAAAAATTCCAGAAATTTGAACTATTTTATTTATTTAGGAGTTCTAAAAGTAAAAGTAGGAAGTGATGACAATGTCCGGTCTTTTTTAATGCTCACTTTAACTGAAATGTGCGTAGTTCCTTCACTTCAATAAATTTGAGGAAACATGATTAATTTTCGTACATTTTTGCACATATTAATTTTTCTCCAACTACTTTTTTTTTTACCCCTTTTCTTTTCTCGGCTACTACGAAATAGCTTTTTCCCTTCCTTCCTTCCGGAATTTTCCGTATGTCTAGAAACAACCACTAAAATGGACTGTAATAAATACCAGCTCAAAAACGAAAGGAAGAAATGTAAGAAAATTAATCGCAGTTCCTCTACAATTTCTGTTAGATTGATTGGTTGATTATGTAGAAATATTGTGACATTTATACCCATTGCCAAGTAACACCCACATGAACAGGCGACAGTACAAAAACCATTGCTATGGAACACATTGTTACCCTGGCAGTGAGAGAACACGCAGTAATGGAAATGATGTTTCCTGTGCGGTCCGTGTCGAGGGTATATAAAGGGGAACAGCTGCAATTACGAGAGAGTTCTGGAATGGCAGTTAGAAGACTAGGAGGGTGGTGTGAGATTGCCGCCAGCCTGCAAGGACATGAGCCGAGGAGCAGAGGATCGTCGACTGTTGGAAGACGTTACCAAGCAACGCAGTAAAGACCGTGACTTGGAACATTATTATTTATGTGACAGTGATATGTAAAGTGTAGTCACGAATTGTTCAAGACTTTAATAAATCAGAATACCAATCCAAACCAGTTTATAGTAATCCAATCAAGTGACGATATAAATATATATACATATCAAGTGCAGTTAGGATATTCAGTAAGGTAAAAAAATAAAATTTCCCCTCTGCTTAAATAAGTACTACGCCATAAAAAACATGGCGGAGTGGAGGTGTAGCTCCACTCATTTTAGCTTCGGTACTAGATGGAAGTGAGTGGCAGTTTCACGCCCCGGCCGCTTTAATAACCCCGGTACACGCGGTAGCGTAGTTGGTTGAGGCACTATGCTACAAGCAGGAAGGTCGCGGGATGAAATCCCGATGATGTCATTGGATTTTTTCAATTGACCTAACCCTTACAGCCGCACTATGGCCCTGAGGTCGGCTCAGCCTCTAACAGAAATGAGTACCAGGAATATTCCTGGGGGGTAAAGAAATTTGTAACGTATTTTATTTCACATTTTACTAAAGAGTTGACTGAATTTTGGGCCATTCTGCATTTTAAATGTAAGTCAACATTAAGATGTATGTGATGGTGACAGAAGGCGTGTCCTAATATCTATATGTAAATATGTAATTTTCATAACCACCGAATTTTTAATGTAGTTTCGTAATAGTTATTTTAAATTCTCATAATCAAAATTATTATACATTGCCAATTAAAATGCTGAAATCATTGTAGGTCTGTGTAGAATTTGTACCTGCTTCATTCTGGTTTCTTATTTTGTTTATACTTTGACCTTGAAGATGGATGAGATATGTTGCTTCGAAACGTAAGTTGACTTTCAGCGGATTACACTGCGTTATATCCCAGGAGCCCAAAATGTCTGTTGTAGGTAAAATTAATAACATTGCAGAAGACAGAAATCTCAGTCAGAAGTTAAATCTACAGAAAAGAGACTAGTATACACGCTGGCAAGTACAAGTTGCTTCATTTTAAAGAAGAGAATATCACAGGGGCTGATGACAGCGACCTGGTTGCTGAAGAGAGGTGCGCACAGGACTCCAGTGCCTTAAACAGCGGTTACTCGCTGCAGTAACAGACGATCCGGCATCCCCGGATGGCTTGGACTTGGAGAGCCCTCGGCAAGTAGCCGCCATGTTGCGAGTAACCAGTATGTCCTGTCTTTAGAATCAAGTACGCATGCGCAGAAGAGGAAAGTAGTAGTTCTTTTTCTTATTTTCTCTAAAAACTGTTTCAGCGGCCACCGAGGCAAAGCAGTTTCTGGCTGTTAGTAGACGATTGTAATTTGTAGTGTCAACAACATGTGGCTGTCAGTTGATCGTTTGGCAGGGATATTTGTGATTGATTAAGTGTGTTTACGATTTATTTCTTCCGCCCTTATGGACAGACTGTCATATTTTTAAATCATGGTGTTTTCTGACGTGTGAGACCTGGATTTTCGAACATGTAAGTGAATTTACGTTATTTTAACTCCGTATTTGAAAACCGGTGTAACTAATTTTATGTTTGTAATATTTTCTTGGTGCAATATAGTGGGTTTTTATTTTTGTGAACGATGCAAAAGGAAAAATTTGCTATTAATATTTGTGAGAGTGGTAGATAACGTGTTTTTGTACGATAAAGCGTAAGTGACATGTGGCATATGGTAACAATCAGAATATACACGTATTGATATTGATTTGTAATGGTTTGCGCTTTGACGTGAGTAAAAGAGAAACTCACTATAATTAGCTAGAAGTCTCACTTACAGAACCGTTTATTTTTATAACTTGTAAATATATTCTTATCACAATTTGTCGTAATTATGTAACTTACAAAGATCCTAATATATCAGGCATTAAATTAAGATTTATTTACGTTGCCGTAAAATGGACGTAAATTAATTTGTGCGCGAAAGTTCTTTGATTACCAGTATATTTTATTTCGTTATGTATTATTTTCCGTATTCACTAAGGCTAAACTATCTGGATGGAGAAACGGATTGTTACGCCGTTCATTATTTAACTATTCTCAGGTGCGAAATTTCAGACATCCTTCATTCCAAAGAAAATAAATTAATCACTCTAATTTTATTTTCTAAATTTTACATGGTGCGGCTGATAACTTTCGAAACATATATAATATACCCATATGACAACAGCTTCCTCTAGTTTCAAGAAAGGCTCAGTTTTCCATGTCCAGTACTGTAGGCATCGGTCGATGCACTTGTACAGGTGTTACCGAAATATTTCCAAATTTCAACATTTAAAAATGAACAAGTGCAATACTGGGGCACGCGGTATCACAGTTGATTGAGGCGGTATGCTACAAGCTGGAAGGTCGCGGGTTCGTTTCCCAATGAGGTTATTGGATTTTTCAATTGACATAATCCTTTCAGACCCTAAGGTCTACTCAACCTCTAACAGAAATGAGTACCAGGAATCTTCCTGGGGGTAAAGAGCGGCCGGAGTGTAAGGCTGACAACTTTGCCGCCATCTATGAGCCGATTGTCTAGAAAATGTGGGAGCCTCGATGTCTCACAACCATACGGGCCTCCACGGCCTGTTACAGGGATACCTTTACCTTTTTCACGATGCAATATTTGCTGTAGGGTTTCGGGTAGAAGTGAATATCTCATTAGAGTGATTGAAGATAACCATGAACCGTTACCAATGACTGTGAACACAATGTATGACCTCCATACGTGACTGGATATTCAACAGATGTGTGAATTCTTGATTCGAAGCAAACAAACCAAGGAAGGACAAGACGGTCGGCAGTGAGGATGTGGTGACATAATCGGAAAGATAGAATAGATTTCGAATATAATCGATCCGATAAGAGGCCATGCAAGAACTACAGATGAAATTCACACTACTAAGTTTTCACTTCCGCCGGAAGAGACACGTGATGCAATAAAGGAGGCATAACACGCTCCATATGTTTCTTAATTACAATCAACAGCTGCTGACCGATTTCAGTTGCTCGCTCGATATTTAGAGGTCACTGCACTGTGAAGGTGTAAAGTCAGTAGCAGGGTTGGCACCATTTCAAATTCGCGATGGTCAAAGTCAGGACGGCCAACTTTCGAAGAAAATAAATTATGACATATTTATGTTATTTCAATAAACAATATACAATGAAAAGAATGAAATGGTTGGAATGTTAGGCGGTGGTTTCGAAAGGAATTAAATCCACTTCATTGACGCCGTATTTAAGAATTGAGGCAGGTGGAGCAGGCGAGGCATGGAGGACGCGTGGGGGAGTAAAGAAATGCATACAAATAAAGGTACGAGAGGATGGAGGAAGTACATCACATGGGACATTTATACATAGATGAGAATATAATTTTAAAATGGACCCAAGAAACGTGGTTGGAAGGTACCGACTGAATTAATTTTACTCAGAACACAGGGTCACAGGTGAACACTAAAATACTAAAATAAACGAAATAAAACGCCTGGATTTTCTTAATTAACTGAGTAACTATTAGGCCCTCAAGATGAGTTCTGCTCCATGGAGTAAGTTGGTCAGTGTTAAGAATGCATTAGTCCGAGTCAGAATCAGAGTCAGAGTTACTTTACGACTGGCGGTTTACCTCCAATCAGTTCGCCTTGGCGACAAACCCCTTGAGACTCACGACCAGCAATTTTTTTAATTGAATATTTGCTTTCATAGTTCTTATGTATCATCCTCTCTGACGAGAGGATTGGTCTGTAGTTTACACTTGCTACTGGCCCTCGACATCCCAGTCATTCTCAGGTCCGAATCCCGAGAGACTTATGACCATATTTTATTGTCTCCACATTGAGGCTCCCCCAACCTGGAGGGATAGGTTTCCCCCAGGAACAGGGTGGCTCAGTTATACCCCCAGACACTGTGTTCCCTTTTCGGTGCCTCCTATGACTGGTAGGGCTACGGTGGAGTTGTTCGAACCCGCCTCCACACGGGCTAGTATGTATTAAGGTTTTCTATCCTTCATTTAAAAATAGTTTCCATGCACACTTTCTTGCCTGGAAAGAAAAATCGATTAATGTTGCTTAAGGAGGTAATCGATGTTAATATGCAAATAATTTCAAAGCCAATAAATGCATTCTGTGAGCAAAATAAGGAATGTAAGATTTGAGGTTTTCACGGCGGTGACTATGAAGAAAGCAGTCTTCTGGGATGTGGCACCGGGTAGATGTGGTGTTAACAGACGTTTCGGAGGAACGTATCGCCTCTATCTTTAGGGTAGAATGAAAAGTAAGAAAATCCGCAAGCGAAGAGACTGCTTGTACCAGTTCTTACGGTCTCTTCGCTTGCGGATTTTCTTATTTTTCTTCTACCCTGAAGATGGAGTCGATACGTTCCTCCGAAACGTCAGTTAACACCACATCTACACGGTGCCACATCCCAGAAGACTGCTTTCTTCAAAATATGGAATATTTAATGTTAAAAGTGTGGTAAATAATTTTCATTGTGCTACAAAAGATAAGGATACCTTAATTTAGAGTCCTATACTAATACCAATTTCACTTACCTGGAAACAGTGCTTTTCTATTTGCAGTTCATAGAAATTTTGTCTTTGAATTCAGCGTATATGCCTACAGTTCAAGGGATGATCTTCAAGCTATTTTTACTGCGCAGGCAGTTGATTCTGAAGGCGAAAAGAAAGTAATATATAAAACGCATATCCTGAAGAAGAAAAATAGGAACACGTCTGAAAGTGAGGTTAAACTCGTCAAAATGGAAATATGGCATTGTAAGGGGGCCACTCGGTCGCACGTATAATGTATTCTTGTCCCTTTTATTTCTCCATAACTAAAATGATAAATATGAAAGATACCGGGTACGCAAAATAGTATGACAAACATTTAAATTCTTAGCAAAGAGCAGAGACTTTAAATTTATATTTTAACCTAGTTTTTATTCTTAAGGAAAGAAAGTTCGTAGGGAGTCCAACAACAAAGGGATTTAAATATAAATGTTACTGTTTGATACTAATGTATATTAAGTAGTCTCCTTTAACACGTAATCCTCTGATGATTGCCCTATGGAACTGAAACATGTAAGGAATTGTGTAAGATTTGAGGCTTTCACGGCGGTGACTATGAAGAAAGCAGTTTTCTGGGATTTGGCACCGTGTATATGTGGTGTTAACCGACGTTTCGGCGGAACGTATAGCCTCCATCTTCAGGGTAGAAGAAAAGCAGACTGCAGTCTGCTTTTACCGGTTCTCATGGTCTCTTCGCTTGCGGATTTCTTATATTTTTTTTTCTACCCTGAAGATGGAGGCTATACGTTCCGCCGAAACGTCGGTTAACACCACATATACACGGTGCCAAATTCCAGAAGACTGCTTTCTTCATGTAAGGAATTATCAAACAAACACAAATTTATAAAGTAGTTTTGCTAGATCAATGTGCTAAACGTTTACATATCTGTCTGTGTGCCCTCCTCAAATTTAAACTTCTAAAGCAACTGTCAGATTCTTGCGACATCTGGTATGGAGGTTGTGCCACTAGAGGGAGTTCCAACTCGTACATTTTGGTTTCCTAAGTTTTCTAATATTAACATGGCGGATGAATGAGCTTGCGATGTTGGAGCAACGCTAGCAGCATACAAGGCAAGACCCTCAAGTTACGTGCTGTACCAGGATTTCGAAAAGTATCAAACTTTTTTATGGTGATCTTTTTTTGTTGAAAATGAAACAACATATTGGGTATCAAATCTATATTTAGCTTTTGATTTGATGACGATAACTAATGGAACACTGGAACTAGGCATGAGAAATTTGGCATGGGGATAGATCTTAAGCATGGATTTCTGTAACTGTAGGTTCGAATCGCTCTGAAATTGTGTTGTCATAAATATGTAGCGGTCTTGTGATTGGTTGATCAGCCGTGCAAGGAGCTCTACCAGCTGTCTATCAATTCATAGTTGCAGATTAATTCTGAAATGAAAACAGACCAGGTGGGGAAAGATAGTAATAATAATAAATTAATTAATGTCCATCATATAATATAAAGAACCGTTCAGGCTAAAGCGCATTTTAAAATTGAAACATGAAATTCCCCTAGGCAGCATTACACGCAAAAGACTTTTGTCTTCTGCATAACCTCCAAGTCGGCCCTGGGGCCCATCCACCTTCCTACCCAACGATTGCTGGTTTAAGTAACACGACCTTTTGACGGCCTGATCCCCTATTCAAGGAGCCGTGGCAGCTGTCTCTAAGATTCAGTTTCTCACTAATTCTCAATTGTAACAGGTTAGAGGGCTTATTTCTTCAAACAAATAGGGATATAATCCAATTCAATTCTTATTAATTTGCGTGCAAACTTAACAGCCTATGGGGTTAGGTGAACGCCAGAGTCGATCTGGACAATATGGAAAAGGGAAAGGTCTTGACTCTAACGGGAGTCTAACTCCGACACCTCGGTCGTCCAGTCCGCAGCCAGTCGCTATACCGATTACGCCATTCCGGC